CTGCAATGCAATATTGTGTAGTGTGCATCTTGCATCTACATGAGGCATCATGCTAATAGGTTTGTTGCATTGATAGATGTTAACTAGTATTCTTTTCTTCCCTCTTGTTCTCTTCCCACTCTAGTTTAGGAGATCAAAGGATGACAGCCAAATAGATCAATGAAAATTAAGTTATAAAATAAACACTAATAATTAGTAATAATGCTAAAATAAACCTAGTGGAGGAAATTAAAATATTCATGAAACACAAATCTCAAAATAAAGTAGAAAAATATTCAATTAATCATGTTACTGAAGTTTAACATAAGTTTGGAATGAATGATTGTAATCATTCGTGGGATTGTTCCTTTTATACCCTAGTACTGAAAAGAGTTTCTTAATTGAAAAACAAAGGCTCTATTTGAGATCAATTTTGTTATTTTTTTTGTTTTTGTTTTGTTTTTTTTTTTGTGTTTTTAAAAACATGTTTGTCTAGTATATTTTTTATGATTTTACTCTTTATTTTTAAAATAAATTAACATATTTTTGAAAACACTCGAAATGACTTCTCGAGTATTTAATAATTTTAAAAAACTTTCTTTTAATCAAACTTATTAAACATGTCGAATCTAAAACATCTACTCTCCTAACCGGATCATCAGATGGTCAACTTTTAATGTGACCAACCCTATCACGAATATATTCATTTAGTATTTTGTCTCTAAGTGTCAAGCCACTCATCCACCTAAACATTTTTATCTCAGCAACACAACTTTGTTTTATACTTCTCTTTTATAAGCCAACATTCTGCGCCTTAGATCATTTCATGTCTCACCACCATTTTGTTAAATTTTACTTCAAGTCTAACCAACACTTTTCTATCACACAATAGGCCTGATGCATTCCTTCCCTTCAACAAACCAACTTGAATTCTATTGATAACAGTTCCATCTATATCACCATTACTTTGAAAAATAGACCCAAAATATTTAAAACAGTCACACCTTTTAATGATTTGATCACCCATAGTTACAATCTGCTACTAGAACTACTACTACTAAAATCACATTCCATATATTCCATTTTAGATCTACTCAAATGAAGGCCTTTAGGCTCCAATATAGACCTCCATAATTCAAGTTTTTTCTAAACTATCCACAAGAAGGATATCATCACCGACGAGCATACAACAAGGTACATCCTCCTACAAATGCCTTGTAAGAGCAATGTTATCTAAAGCAAAAATACGTAGGCTTAAAGTCGATTCCTGATGTAATCCAACTGAAATAGGAAAATACTTTGTCAATCCTCCTTCCGTTCTAACACAAGTAACAACTCTACTATACATATCTTTAATGACTTGAGTATAAGTCATACCAACACCTTTCTTCTTTAGAACTATCCAATGGACTTTTTTTGGAACCTTATCGTAAGCTCTAAACCAATAAAATCAATGTAGATTCTCTTTACTCTCATTGTACTTCTCTATCAAACCTCTTAATAATATATAGCTTCCATAGTAGACCTGCTCGACATAAATCCAAATTAATCATGGGAAATATTTGTATCGGGTCTTAACCTATCTTCAATTACCCTCTCTCACAATTTTAAAGTAAGGAACATCAACTTAATTTTTATATAATTTGCACACTCTTGTGCATCCCCTTTATTCCTAAAAATAGGGACCAAAATACTCTTTGTCCACTCCTCAGACATCTATTTAGTTTATAAAATAATATTAAAGAGTTTAGTAAGCTAAGAAACTCCCAAATCTCTTAAATATTTTGACACTTCAATTGGGCTATCACTAGGTCTTATTGATTTTCTACCCTTAGTTCTTTTCGAAGTCTCCACAACTTTTTTATTAATGCGATGGTAAAAATAAAACATTTTGCTATTATTAAGAAAATTAAGATCACTAAGTTCAATTGTATTTTTAGAAACTACATTGAAAAGTTTATCAAAATGAATCAAATACCTTTGTTGAATATCTTCCCCTTATACCTTTTTGATTTTCATCTTTAATACACTTTACTTGAATTAAATCTTTATTTTTATTTTTTATTTGTGTGACTACTTTATACATATATTTTTGGGTTCTTTAGTATCTAATATATTATACAGATTACTAAAAGTACAATTTTAGCATCACAAATTGTTCTCTTAGACTCCCTACGGGTCATCTTATAATTTTCCTAGTTCACTAAGCTTTCATATTTAAACAAATTTTTATAATACAACTTCTTATATTTTATCATTGCTTGCACATTACTATTCTGCCGCCAATTATTTTTTTTTATAAAAAAATTTTTCATTGATTTTTCTAGTGCATCTTTTGCCACTTGTTTAATAGTGATTGTTACTTTATCTCACATAAAATTAGCTTGTTCATGAACTCCCAAATATTGGAATCTGGATGTTTACTCATCAAAATAGTTTTATTTGTTAAGAAAGATAGAGGTAGACCTAAAAAGACTTGGGCTTATTGTATAAAAAATGATCTCAATATATTAGAATTAAATGAAAATATGGCACTCAATAGGATGAATAGGAGAAAAAAATTCATGTAGCCGACCCAACTTACTGGGATAAAGACTTCTTGTTATTATTACTGAAGTTTTTTTTATAATTAAAACATAAATAAAATAAAATAGAAAATTGGTCCTAAATGGCCTCTTAATAAACCTTTTGTCTTTAATATAAAGATAAAGGAACAAAATAGGGTTTCCTAGTAAAGAGCTGATTAAAAAATGAAAATATTACCTAAAAAAAAGAAGTTAAAAAATAACTATTAGAAATATTTAGATGCTTGTATGACAGGTTTGGAGCTCTATTTTCTCTTAAGATTTGATGCACTTTGTCTAGACTCCATTAAAAATAAACTCGAGATACAGCGTTGAGGCAATTTTTTTATATTCTTGGTAGTACTAAAAAATCAAATGCTATTTTTCACTTTTCAAATGTTCTATAAATAATCGAGAGCAGGAGGGTATTTTGAACGTCTTTAGACATTTTATTTGATAAAAATATCTATTCATAAAGGGAAGAGCGAGAGGGAATTAAAGTATTTGATCATCACCCTAAAGGAACGGGAAAAGAAGAAGAAGACGAAGAAGATAAGATGCATGTAAAGGTCGATTGAGAATCTGCATATAAAGAAAAGTATGAAAAGCATCTTTTAGGAGGGAGTTACTGAAGACTGTTTGTAGACCTTCAAGCTTAAATGAAGAGAAAAGGATTTGGTAGGAATTTTTCTCAAAATTACACTCTGTCCAAGGCAAGCAATCTTTGAAGTGTCCATAATTTTTGCAAGCATAGAATAAAGGATAATTATGCCTTCATGCATTTTGAATGAATACATGGAACTGTCCAAGAAAGTGTCTCTAGTCGAGAGCAACCACTTTGTGGAGTCAATTTGTAAATTCAACCTCATCCAATTCAGGTAAACAATAGAGCATTGAAATGTCATTAATTAGATCTAAAGGAATGAAAATTACAGCTAGAAATGCTGGAGAAAAAAAGGCATCACCAAACAATTAGGATTCCAAGAAATCTTAAAATGGTTATGGTAATGCTTGGCTGAAGGCAAATTATGGATCTAAGCTTCATTCCAAATTTGATTTTAGCATCAAAATTTGATTGTAGGATCATCATTGATATTCTAAGAGATAAAATGAAAGAAGTACAAATGCTTTCTTGACATCCTTATAAAACATAGGATCGTCTTTTTCCCACGAAAAGTTAGTAGGAGTTGAATTATTCAATTATCTGTTTTGTATGTTGTACTTCCGTAAGGAGTAGTAATTCACATGAATAGATATTCATATCTGTTTGGCAAGAAGAGAAACTTTCATTATATAGAAAAAAAAAGTGTGAAGCCCTCCAATTTTTTTGAGTCCATTTATTTTCTAAATGACAAGGGAGACCTCCACCATCATCATTTTTGTTCCACAAAAAACTTTTAATTCAGTTTAATTTGCTGATGGCCCATTCGAAATCAAGAAGAAAAAGAAGTACGGTGGTAGAAGATAACTTAGATTCAAATTCAGTATCCTATCACCTTAATAAAGGAATTTGCCTTTTTAGGAATGCAAGTTTTCTCAAAATTTTGCCTATTATAAGAGTTTAGGAAAACCTAAATATTTGAAAGGAAGTCTTTTAAAGGGACAAACTAAAGCCTTTGACAACAAATAAAAGTAATTAAATGAGTTTAGTATAAGCTTTTTGAAGTTATTGTTCTGAGGTCTATCAATTGGTTCAAACAATCATCATGAAAGAACATTAACCTCACCACACCTGAAAACCTAATTTTACTAGTTTTTCTCCCTTAACACTATTATTATGTTTTGTGCATCCAGAAATATGACTACATGGAGAGGAATGAATCCTCAAGTAGCATTGTGTGATATGCACAATTCACACAATACATTAGCATCATCTTTATCTGATAAAATCGCATTTAGTAGGTGTTAACCTGTTATTCATTAGATTTGTTCTGTTAATATGTTGTGATTTTAAGCTATGAAATGGTATTTATAGTCGTAGATGCATTGCTCCTTTAGTTTGGTGGGGTTGGGCCTTGTCTGCAAGCCACATACATTAATAAAACAGGGTGAGATTTACATACATACCACACAATTCTTTGTATTTCATTATCTAAGAACTAAAATTTACAAGTTACTTATAAGGCACTCAAATCCTTAACATCACATAAACATACCTCTAATATTAGCTTACACACATCTTCATACATATGTACAGATGTTATTATTTCATTGAAGTGTTTTAAGTGCTTATTAAACTTCAGGTGTCAAATATGTAAATATATATGAATTATACAGTTTAAATGTTAATCTCCCTAAAACATGACAAGTACTTTAACCTTTTTCATTTCAAATTGAGCCCTATTTAAAGAAAGAAAACAATCACGAGTTCTTAAACTTAACAATATTCTTAAAACATCATTTCAAAATTTATTCTTATTGGTTTTTCTCCAATCCCTGATGCCTCCTCAAATGCAGGCATGCAGCGACAGAGGATTACCGCCTGCCGAAGCCATGGAAATACTTGAGGAAGCAGCCAGAGACTTGCACCCTGAATACTCTCAAAACCTCCACATCTACAGAGAAATAGAGGAACTTATGTGCATCATTAAGACTCAGGTCTTGTCTCTCATAAAAACACCTACTTCAAACTTGCAGATGTAAGTTAATCCAAGAAGATTAAGCTTCTGAGGTTCGTTTCTTTCCTGGCCTCAACAAGAAAATATAACAGGGCATTATTTTGGTTATACTTGTACATGGTTTCTTACCATTCTTGCACTTCTATCCCAAAGTAGGTTATTCTTCTTAGATTTGTACATAGTTGATTTATAAATACCATTGGTGGATATGACCAGCATACTTTTTAATAATCAATTTATGTAGTTTGGCTGCTGTCTCATTAGAAATTAATTTCATGAACAATTTTTTCTCTTGCTATTCTGGTTGGAAGATTGATTGTCAATAATAAAAATTAGGGGTATTTACATATATTGTACATACCACGCAATTCTTATGTACTTAACATTTGCATTTTCATATTTATATTTGTAATACCTTGGTGTCATAACTCTTAGTGAAGTCTTTTGCTTTCAGTATTTGACAAATGAAGTTGCGGTACATGTGAGAAGTCTCCAGAGCAATTGAGCTTGGAAGGCCGAGTTTCTGAGTGCAAGAGAATGAATGGCCTATGCCCGAGAGCATATATTTTATTTTAAAAAGAGTCAATGATAATCATATTTTTGATGTGATATTGAATATTTGAGTGTTTTGAATATAAATATGAAAGCTTTAAGTGCTAGATATATAAATACATATGATATGAATTGTGGCATACATTTAAATGCACCAAAATTGGAGCAAAATTTCTCACGGTTTTATGTCGTGCCGTATCATATGGAAGTGGATGCGAGAATATTGCGAGTTAATATTATATTTTGTAAATAAATGTTTTGATATTTTATATAAAAAGATCTTCATTTTGAAGGTTTTGTTCTGGCCAGAAATCCTAAGGGATTTCCGAAGATTGCTTAAACAGCGTTGTATAGGTATTTTATTCATTTAAATTTGTTGCTACTGAAGTCGGATGTAAGAAATCAAATAGAATGTGAATTTTTTTCATATCAAGGTGTATGTAGTTGACCAATATGATTTTATTGTGATTCAGATACATAATTTTTTACATTTCATATTAAATCTTAATCATTTATATATAATTGTTCCTGAAATTAAAGACCAATAATATTAACATGCAATTTTTATGATTTTATTTTCTTATTTCAATAAAGTTGAGCCCAAAAAATAATATGTATGAAGTATGCATGTTATTTTAATGGTTGATTATCATTAAAATCTTAAATAGAGCATTATTGATAGGGTTTTTCTCCTAATGGACTCCAAGCTATAGGAGTATTTTTTTTAAATTTTAAGTGTGGAGTTTGGGATCAATTTCATTTTTTCTTTTTTTTTTTATTTTCTTTAGTTTGTTTTATTTTATTTTATTTTTTGTTTTAACATAAAATGAAAATATTTTTGATACTCTTATGAATTTTTTGTTTTTAAAAGCAAAAAATAAATTACATGTTTGATATTCATATGCATTTTTAAAAGAATAAAAAGTGTTTTTGTTAAAAAAATATTTAAACAAACATGATTGGGATTTACATTGAAACCACGCATCTAATGTATATTTATATATTTAACATCTAAACTTCACTTTTTGCATTAATATCACCCGTCTTTCTTATCACACTAAAAATACCACCAAAATTTAAGAAGTGAAAAACAGCTTCTGATCGAAAGTGACATATATATATATAATTAAATG